CTACTTATTTTCTGTTAGCATGCATTGTATTTACATGCTTTAATAGAAGCAAGTTACAGCGAAAACTAACCGGCCGCCTTCGTTTCACATTACCGTAAATTAACGCGAAAGCAGACAGCTCTACAATCCAGATAAACCGGTATTTCTTATCGCGCGTTGAAAATCTATCTATCGAAGTCGATTTCATCTCGTATGGGGAATCATTAAACCCTCGACTATAAAAACAGGCGATAATAACAGAGTTTCTAGAAAAAAAAAACACAAGATATATATCTGCTTACAATTCGCATGGAGATTGCGCAAATTGGGTTTGATGGAAGCAAGTTAAAGTTCGAACAAATCGCAAATGGTTTCGGCCACTAGGTTAAGGACTCAGGCAACAACAAACGCATGAGAAAGAAAGAAGAATTTCACTGGCAAATCCAAAAATTTGATACAGATACGGATTTTAAAATAATGTTGTTGGACCATCAATATTACGTAGAACGCTCAAATATGATAATAATATTATAAAAAAAAATGTTTATTTCTTTTAACCACCAATTTAAACGTTGTGCATAATAATTTTAAAGACTCAACAAAATTATTTTCAGATCTGTCTCTGACCAGCAAAAACATTTCTTCCGTATGGGAATATATAAGAAACAAGGGATTAAATATAAGAAAAATAAAAATAAAAAAATTAATTTTGAAATGCATAAGAAATGCACCAAGATGTTTCTTTCACCGATCAAAAAAAGTAATTTTCTGTCTCTATAATTCCTTATTCCCATGTATTTATCGAGTCTGAAAAGTTTCTACGAGGTACAATGCATTCTTATGAGGAGGTCAAAAGATCGAAGGAGGTTCTCGGGGGGCGGGAGGGGGGGGAGGGATACAACCAAGTTTGCTGAATGAATACTTTTAAGAATGACCAAATCTGTAACACGTGTCCCTGCCGGACGGAGCATAGGAGGAAGAGTTCAAGGCAGATATTGTTCGTGCTCACGGGGCGAAACTCCGGTGTCAAGGGCGGTGGCGGCGGCAGTGGCGCTCCTGACAAAGATATTAAATTATTTACCGAAGCGTGTCTGCGGCCGAACGTCCGTCGAATGTTCTCCGGAGGAGCGTCTCGTCCCGTTCCCCGCGGCCGTTGATCGCCGTCGAATAACGTCGGTCTCTTCGGCGGGCAAGAGGGACGGGGGCGGGGGGGAGGGGGGGAGGGAGATTGCGGCCTCTCCTAGAATGTGCACGCCGCGTGTTCAAGCCGAGCGCTATAATTTTCCCGTAAAACGTTTTTCCCCACGCGAAAGTGGGCGCGTATGTATACACGTACACCAGAGGCGGAAGTTCCGCAACGCCGCTCCGGCCGCGCCACCGTGCGTTTTCGGTCCGCCTGCCCATGAAAAGTCGGGCGGGACCGTTTTAATTTGTTTCTTGCATTTCGTGAGAGACATCGAGAGACGCACGGCATAAAAGCCATGCGGAATCGGGGAGAAAAGAAAGGAACGACGTTATTCGTCTCGAGTGTGCGTTGTTATCCATTTTTGCACTCGCGAGTGCACGAGGGGTTATTAAACCGCCCGTGCGGTTAATTATTAATAAGACCAAGTAGCGGGAATCGATCATCGGACATCGAAATGTAATAACATGTCATGGGGGGGGAGGGGGGAAGGAGAGAGGGGGAGATTTTAATAATCGCCCGACTCTCGGATGCCTCGCGTAGGGCGTAGCTAATAATAAGCTGGTGTAGGAAGCCTCGCCGGCTAACGGTTCTCGCGAATGGGAGTGAACGCACGAGAAATTAAGGGAAATTTTTCAAAATTGAGATTCTCTTCGCGCTCTACCGCCTGCATATATATATA